GGGGGGGGGGGGGGGGGGGGGGGGGGGGGGGGGGGGGGGGGGGGTGGGGGCTGGGTCGGTCGACAGAGGGGTGGCTGCTGCTGCTGCTGCTGCTGGTGCGGCCGCTTGCGATGACGGTTGCGGTTCCGGTACATCTGATGGCTGCCCGGGCCTAGATTCCTCTAGAGACGTGGTCATTGGAGCTGAGGCCGAGGTGCAGGGCGGCTGCTCTGTTTCAATGGCAGAAGGAGGCGTTTCCGCCGCAGCGGCGGCGGCGGCGGTGGCGGTTGCGTCGGCCAAGGCGGTCGGCGGCGGCGGGGAGCAGGGCGGCGACGAGGTCCTCGAAGCTCTTCTTGTTGTAGCTGCGGACGACGACGACAGCTCACCGGGGAGGTTTGCATTGCTGTCTTCGTCCCGCTGGCTAGTGCTCCCGCTGTCGGCGGGGGGCAGAGTTGCTCCCGCGACGAAGGCCTCGCGTTTTCTTCGAAGCTCCGAACGGCTCGCCACCGTGCTGACCTTTCCCTCGGGTTCGGCGTGCACGAGCTCGTCCGTCCTTTTGGTCCTTGAAACTCTCTTCTTGGGGGCATGTTTCACCTTCGCGTTGGAGTTGGTGGTGGTGGCAGTGGTCCGACGCTCAATGGGAGTGCTGTTGACCTGCGTTAGGAAGAGACGAATGAGATGTTAGAGAAGGCCGACGGGGGAGGGATCGAATAGGTGTAGGCTTATATTGGGCACGCTATGGTACCGATAACCGAATTTCATCAGTTCCCATTGAGTATCCTCTGCTGTTTTTCCATGCCACTCAAGTTGCCCTTCGCCCTCTCAGCATGTGGCACAGGCCGGGGGTGCACAGGATTGGGAATCCTCTGGCGGGGGGCGCCTCACAGGTGTTTGAGCACTGATACACTCGTGCACATGGACCGCAGTACTGCTGTGGTATTCAAAGCTAACGGGGGGATCCTTGTGTGTGAGAGAGCGGATGCTTGATTGACTGTCTTATCAATTTGCCTTAGGTATAGTCTAGGCCCCAAGGTTTACCTGCCGCCCCCTAGCAGCTCCCGCGGACAACGGGACGCCGGATATGGTTCGTGCATGTACAAGACAGCAGCATACAGTCGAGGGACGTTTATAGTGCCGGTTGAATAGTGCCAGGTGCCCGGTTTAGTGCCGGTAAAATCTCCGGACACAGGCGGAGCCCTCAATAGTGCCATACCGGCGCTATTGTGAGCATGCCCGGTATAGTGCCGGTTGGGCGCCACTGTCACCCTCAATAGTGCCGGTTCATCCCCCCCCGCGCACACACACAGCACACACACACAGACAACCAGCCAGAGGACAGACTCTAGACAGAGGAGTAGGGTACAGGTTCTGCTGCAGACCAGAACAGCTCTACGCAGCGGCGTACCATGCCATGTGCGGAAGGTGAACTGTGCGCTCAACAGGATAAGACGCCGCAGGCCCCACACGGCCACCCTTGCAAGGGAGGATGTGGAGGGCGGCTCCACGGCAATTGCGGCAGCATGTTTGGCGACAACGAACAGCACCGCATCTGCAGTGCGTGCGTCGCCAAGGACAACAAGCGCAAGGCGCCAGCAGCTGACACCGGTGCAAGGGGACAATCTAAACGCCCGGAGGTCACGAATGGGGGGAGTAAGAAGTCTCAGCCTTCTCGTAAGGTGCCTCATGCGCGGCCGGATTTGGACGCCAAGCTTGAGATGCTGAAGCTCATGGATGCCAAGGTCACTCATGAGCAGATAGCGGAGCGCTTCGCGTGCTCGGTACGGCTGGTCCGGGAACGTACTTCTGCCGATTTTCCTTCACATCCCGGACCAGCCGTACCGAGCACGCGAAGCGCTCCGCTATCTGCTCATGAGTGACCTTGGCATCCATGAGCTTCAGCATCTCAAGCTTGGCGTCCAAATCCGGCCGCGCA